TCTCTCTCTCTCTCTCTCTCTCGATCGATCGATCGATCGATCGCTGGCTCGCTCTTGCTCGCTCGCTTGATCGACCGACCGATCGCACGCGTGTGCGCCCACCCGGCCGCAGCCCGCCACTTCCTACCTGTCTCTGATGTCGACGGTGGATGGTCGTTAGCAAACAGTTTTTTCACTGCAGCGAGAAGGGAACAGGTGGCACACCTATAGAGGCAACCCTCAGACCCGCACCTTGTAGAGATAGTTTTGAATCCGTTCTTGTTGGGATCGTGATGGATCACACTGCCTTTTCAGTTCTGCTTTTTCTTTTCCCGTCAGTGACAAATCCGTGAACGATCAGTGACAGTTCGGTGAACGGAGATTTCATAGGTGACTGATCTGTCCATTTCTACCATTTTCAAGTTGTCTCCCTTTTGCCAGTGGGATCCCCTGAAAAGTACTAGATTAATAATTTAATAATATTAATCATATTTTAATAATTTTATTGTTATATTATTATTATTATTATTATATTTTACTTTTTGGTTCGGTCTAATAATTTAGTGGTAATAATTTCCTTTGGTCTGGTAATAAGTTAGTGCTAAAAAGTACTAAAATAGTAAAAAGCTTTTTTTTTTTTTTTTTTTTTTTTTTTTTGGTTAAAAGTTTTTAGAAGTGCTTTCAATAACAAACACTTTGTTAGACGGCATTTTGCCTATAACATGGAGGCTTTTCTTTTCTTTTTTTTTTTTATCTTTTTTGAAAATTGGCGGAATGAGGTATAAGTGCAGCTGGCGCCGGAATGTGGGTTCGTTCTCCAGGGCCGAGGTCCCACTAGCACAGAGGTTAGGATCAAGATCCTGAATCTGAATGTGTTTTATGCATAGATGCAGAAAAGCAGTTCAATCTCAATTTCCTGCACCGCTCCATAAACTCGTCCAGATTCAGGCATTCGATCCGATCCTCTTTGCTAGTGGGACCACGCCCCAGCAGATGAGAAAAGGAAATATACGAGGGGGCAAAAAAAAAGGCAGTCCTTTTTTTTTTTTTTTTTTTTTTTTTTTCTTTGAGAACACTTTGCTCATAAGGTTTCCACCGCACCAGATCTTTCTGTCTTGTTCAGCTTTTTTTTTTTTTTTTTTTTTTTAAACAAGTCCGATTTTTTTTTCATAAGGAACGTGTGTTGTTCAGCAGCTTCAGCTTTGTCATCATCAAGGGTTTGTTTTCACATACTCGTCAAAACAGACCTTAGCCAATGGTTCGAATTATGAAATATCTTTTCCTCTCTTTCTACCCCCCTTCTCCCCCTTCTCCCCCCCCCCCCCCCCCCCCCCCCCCCCCCCCGCTTGTACCCAAACCTATCCCCTTCTTCCTCTTCCTGCTCTCCTCACCCGAATAGAACACCGGGGCATTATAATATGGTTTATAGATCTGCACAGCGGGCCAATGTCCTCCTCCGTGCAAGCACGGATTCGAACCGGCGACGTCAGCCTCAGGAGCCAGGTATCTTATCCCCTACAGCGAGGACACGGTTTAAAAAAAAAAGTGGAACCATACCGGTCGTGATACATGTACTTGGTGCAATTCGCAGTCTATATACAGTGATAATGACCGGGCGTTCTATTCGAGTGCGCAGATGGTAGTCATATTTTCTGTTGTTGCTGCCGTAATTGCCATCATGGCAGTCTTGGTTCTCCTCCCAAGAGTCCCAACCCTCCCTACCCTACTCTTCTCTCCTCTCCCACTTCTACTCCTAGTCCTACTCCTCCTCCTCCTCCTACTACTACTACTACTAGGCCCTACTACTACTACTACTACTACTACTACTACTACTACTACTACTACTACCACCACAACTACTGCTGCTCTTCTCTCCTCTCCCACTTCTACTCCTATGCAGACTCGTACTCCTTTCTCCCACTTGTACTCTGACTCGTACTCTCACTACTACTCTTGTCTCCTCTCTCCCACTCCTACTCCTACTCCTACTCTTCTCTCCTCTTCCACTCCTACTCTTAGTCCCACTCCTCTTTTTCTCCTGCTCTCTCCCACTCCTACTCCTCCTAACACTACTACTCTTGTCTCCTCTCCCACTCTGACTTCTAGTCCTCCTCCTACTCCTCTTTCCCCCTCCCCCTCCTCTTACTACTCCTCCTCCTCGCTTTGTCCTCCCCCTCTTCCTCTTCCTTGCAAGCCTTTTGGTTGAAGATGCCATTCCCTCTTCTGTATCAACCTTCTCCTTGTCGATGTCATCGTTGAGGTCATTGGACTTATCGCATTTTTAAACATTGTTCTCCGATGACGGTACTTGTCACGGTCATCATTGTCTTCTCCCGACTGTGCGAATCCTTTTCGCTGTCGCGTTTATTGTTGATGTTCGTGGCTTGTGTTCTGATGTACAGCTGCTGATGTGGATTTGCGCGAGGGGTTGGAGGCGTGGGGTTTAGGGTTTAGAGGTTTAGCGGTTCAAGGTGTCGGGGCTTAGGGTTTAGGGGTTTAAGAGTTTAGGGTTTAGGGTTTTCCAGATGAGCATTGCATTCTCTTGCTAAACTGCACTTCATTTTCCAGCAGGTTGTACAATGCGGCATGCTGGGGAAAAAAAAAAACCAATGTGGCATGCCATTGGGTGATATAGTACGCAGGTAATGGAGCATGGGGGGAGGGGTGGCATAAAGCTCCTCCTCACCGACTCAGAGTCCCCCCCAGAAGAAGAAGAAGAAGAAGAAGAAGAGAAAAAAAAAGCCAGACCCCTGAGAAGAAAAGCCCACTGCAGCCCATATGGCCGAACGGTGCATCGACGAGCCGTTAAGGAGGGGTTGATGACAGTCATGCGTCTTCCCAATGGGGCTGACGACACATGGGCCAGATGGCGCAAATGCTCCCCCCCATTCCTGCCCCCCCCCCCCCCCCCCCCCCCCCCCCCCCCCCCCCCCCTGAAAAAAAGAGAGAAAGATAAAATAATGTCACCCCTAAGGCTTGAGATAAAACAAAATTTTAATGCCGTGCCCTGTATGCAACTACGGGCAAACATGAGGCTAAGGGCCAGATCCCACTGACAAAGAGAATTGGAATAAGAGTCTGAATCTGGACGTGTTCCACGCAGAGATGCAGGAACGTAGATCAATCACAATTTTTTTGTACCTGTCCACAAACACGTCCACATTCAGACACTTACTACA